AGGGAAAAATATGTCAAGCAACTTCTGAAGAAGAATAAAAAAGCATAGAATCTTATAATAATATTTTGCTGGTAGTTTCAACAGGTGGAGCCAACAAAGTTTGCGAGGGAAATGTTTTTAGCGCAATATAATATTTAATGAGAATATTTTGCAATGACTGCTTAAATATTCAGGTGAGCGATACAGGCCCTCTTGGGTCTCTTGTTTTCTTCTTTTCTTGCTGTAGATATGGCACATCAAATCTGTATTGAACCGAAAAGTTCATTCAGATTCTCAAAAATTTGTGAAGATGATGAAATGAAATTATACTTCACACTCAAAATAAGAGTGTTCAACGTTGCTGAGATCAAATTCATTACTGAGTATAAGATAGAACATGGAAGAAGGGCGGAACAGTGCTTTGAGAGTATTATCCTGTGCGTCAGAGACGACAGCCACGACCACAACGTAGAGTTGGATAATGTTTTCCATGTAGGGACAAAGGATAGATTTGAATACTCCATAGAGAGAGAACATGTTTCCGGCATTGAAGGAAGATATTCTACATGTATCGACACAGACGACAAAGGAGATCTGTCCATTCAGATCAATCTTGGAACATCGATTCTCCGTCCGAGAAACAAAAGGGCCAGGAGTAATAGCAGTGATGACTGCGATAGTGATGATGACAACACAGAAACGGACTTGTATGACGGTCCCAGCGTGTCGGAAGTGCTAAAGTTGAAATTATAACCACTACCGCTAGAACATTGCTACATATGAAAAAATATATGAATCAAAATGAAAAAAAATATGAATCAAAATTTCGGTTATCTAAACCTAACATTTGATGTAGACTGTCAATTGTAGAAAGAAGATATTGCTCTGCTCAGTGAAGATGAAATGTACTGCTGAAGGTCAGTCAGAAGTGTCAGCAAGCATTTGAGACAATCTTGTTCACATAATTGGACTACCTGTTATAAGTCTTAGATTTATACAACTAAAGAATGAGTACAGTTATGTTTTGCACACTTATTCAAATGTCAGCATATAATGATTGATCCAAGGCAACTGCTTCACACATCCTTATTATTTAAACATGTAACTTAAAAAAGTACAAAAGAACCATGTAAAATAAATCGGTTTTTAATCAAAATATACAACATATTGTAAACTTACCGAGTATATTGATAAAAAAAAATAATGTATAAACCCACCCCATAAATAATCATAAACTTTACCCCTTCCCATATAAAAAAAGTTCCCCAAGTAAAAAAAGTCCCCCATGATTGGAATGCATCCACAACATGTATATAACAAAACCCACCCCATAGATAATCATAAACTTTACCCCTCCCCATATAAAAAAATTCCCCATCATTTTAATGTATCTTCTAAAATAATCTCAAACTTATAACAATGAAAAATGTACAACCCGTGATCAGCAAAACATGTAAATAACAAAACCCACCCCATAAATAATCACAAACTTTACCCCAACCCTAAAAAAGGTCCCCTGATTGTAAATATATCCCCAGAGTATTTTTATCAATAACATATATAAAAAAACTCATAAATAATCATAAACTTTACCCCAACCCTAAAAAAGGTCCCCTGATTGTAAATACATCCCCAGAGTATTTTTAATAAGAACATACATCAAAAACTATCCCATAAATAATTATAAACTGACCCCACCCTAAAAAAAAAGTCCCCTGATTGTAAATATATCCCCACCGGATTTTTGTGTGTATTATAACAACATGTATATACATATATCAAAAACCAACCCAAAAATAATCATAAACATTACCCCACCCCTAAAAAGACCCCCTGATTGGAATGAACTACAACAAAACTCTGCCACATACTCATACTATAATATATGGTTAAAAAACATGACCAGAAAGTATATAAAAGCAAGTCCAACATATGAATTCATCTCAGTGCACAGACCCATCTGACCGCAGGTGTGGTCTTCTCAATTCGTTAATCTCTACTTCATCATCCTCTACATCTTCCTCTGCATCATCATCTTCATGCTTCTCTACATCTTCCTCTGCATCCTCAACATTAACCTGTACCTGTTCGATCAAGCCTGCACCTGATGCTGTAAAAGAACACTCACAATATGTACATGTTTCATCCTACAGAAGTCGCCTTATGTATATTATATACAGTAAATCCAGCCATAGTTTGAATGAAAACATGCATCAAATAGTATAGTTATAATTACATTTCTAGAGTTTAACAATTGATAAAGATTCTGTATACTTCCGCCTTTATATATATATATATAAGAATAGTTTGAATTATCAGTAGTAGTTGTAGTCATGTTCATTATGTCATCTCCATACTTCCTTACACATCTCTGTTTCAGATAGTTTCTAAGTAATAGAAGCAGGATGGATAATCCGCTTCCGCAGATCAAGGATGCTGAAATTCATATTAATATGTAACATTTAATACTACAATAAAAATGTATGCATATATCTGAGTCTGCTTGCACCACACACACTTGGGATCAATGTAGGAATTATGGAAATAACCAAAGTTCTAAGTGTCAAGTGGGGCTATCCTTAAGTCAAAATAAAATATAATTTCCAGATTTTTAAACATAAAGGTTAGCATCAATGGCATAGGTGGTTAAATAAATTGATTAATTAATGTTCAAATCATCTGGTTTGATCAAAATATTGTAAATAAAGTGGTTGAACGTAATTATACCAAATTAGAGGTAAAATGATTGATTAACAACAAGATGATACAATATGACATCACGAGGGAGTATGACCTGTACGTTGGGAAATTCTCCACCATTCTTGAATTCAAGAAAAAATTCTCCATAACCAATTGCTGATCGATTAAAATTATCATATCTGAAATGATAATCATTATCGATCATCATTATTAAAGTAATTAACCTATTTACCTGTCGAAAAAATCACATCCCACATAGATGGCTCCTGGTCCTGGGTTGACATACTGTGCGATGTTGCCGCTGAACTGGACTGCAGAATACTGCTGGATGCTGCCTCTGAACTGGACCGCAGAAAACTGTTAGTTGATTGTGTATATGTAGTGGGATTGGTTCTCTCAGGTTCAGGAGGGCTGTCCTAAATTATATAATTGAAAATGCTACTGATATGTTTAATAGTTGCAAAGATAAATATAATAAAGCAAACATTGTTCACACTTTAAGATTTTCTGCTATTAGTTAAGCTTCATCCCACCACAAGTAATATATTGGTCACGTGATATTATGATTAAATACTAAGTGAATTATTACTGAGTGAACGTAATTAATACTGCACGTTTCTAACTAAGAATGGTAAACACTTACACAATTAAGTACAAATCCATCCACATGATCGCAGGTCACTGCCTCCAAGGGAAAAATTCTTATCGAGCAGGTTATACAACCTCCCCGAAGGCGGTCACCTTTCCTCCACCCTTTGATAATGATATGCGGCTGTTCCACCATCGGTCCACAACAGAGGGTGAATGTCTTTGGGGGACCCACCAGCCACTCCCTATCCAAAGTACAAGTAAATATGTCTGGTGATATATCCTCATCCGAGGAGCACGCATACCTGAACGGTACATCAACGCATTCTGCCATAATGAGAGGTGGTATAAGAAGTGTCACTGCAAATGCGAGCAAGTGTGTTACCGCCATTTTGACAGACTCTGATACATTCGGAACACCTCTGTAGGTTATTAGAAATGCCGCAAAAGATGAAAATACCCGGAAAGGAAACACTCTTCATATACGACAATATAACTATAGTGCTATACTTAAAATAATAAATGATAAATGCAATTGTTGATAAACCAAAAATAAAAGAACAATAACTCTGTCGACCTTATATCAAATTCATTTTACCTCAAATAACTTCAATATGTATGAACTAAGTATGATGACGAAAAAAAAAATCATGTGGTTTTAACATTAAGGTGACCGCAGTGTCCATATTAAAGCCTTTTAAGATATGAAATTTTCAGATGTCATGGGCTCAAAGTTTTTTTCAGTTGTTAATAACTTCAATATGTAGGAACTAAGTATGATGACGAAAAAAAAATCACGTCGTTTTAACATTAAGGTGACCGCGGTGTCCAAATTAAAGCCTTTTAAGATATTAATTTTTTCATGTTAAAAGTTATTTTTTTCGCAGTTGCTGGTATTCGCATCTGTTTTAAATATACTATACGTACAAAGATTAAATTGTCACCTTTTTTTGTGGTAGCTCGTTTATTTAACGGCGGAGAATGGTCATTATGGGTGGGTTGACAAGCTTAAAACTCTGAAAGATGAAAGCTTTAAAAATACGAACAGGAAATTCTTGTGGTTTTGGCTTAATATTAAAGTAACCACAGCGTCCGTATTTTAAACATAAACTGACACCATCAAGTCTGACAGATGGGATATTATTGCGTATTTTTCTCATTTGGGAACAGCCTTTAATGTATGATAAACGATTGGATATATGTTTTTGCGGTTTTACCTTTATATTAAGCCAACCACAACATCCTATGTTTGCGGTAGAGGATGGTCGTTAAGGGAACACATGTAGGTTGATGTACTTGAAATTCTACTACGTGAGAGTTTTGAAGACACGAACAGGAAATTCTTGTGGTTTTAATTTTTTATTAGTTAACCGCAATATCCCTATTTTAAGCGGAAACTGGCACCATCAAGTCTGACGGAATATGTTTACGACAGAAGATGGTCGTTAAGGCTAGGTCGATATAATCAAATTGCTACATATCTGAACTTCTCACACAGAGGAAGTCCTTGTGGTTTTATCAATGTGTGTATTTTATGTGGAAACTTGTGGTCGGAGAATAATTGTGGTTTAAAATTAAGAACACAACCGTACTTCCATATGTTCTGCGCAGTTTCTTTTCGTTCTGCATATGTTCCCAAGTGTTTCGATCTGGTTGGATACGGTATAATCTCAAACCAGCCAATCATATGATACATGCATTTTCATTGGCTGATGATGCGCCCACATTAAATAATGACAAAACATATAAATATACCTGCAAGATTAGTGTTAGAACATATCCACTTAAAGATCTGCATCGATACCTTTTCAGAAGATGGCTACTCCAATTTCTATGGACAGGTAGATTTGCATAATGCTAACGGAAAACCTAAACTTGTCACCCAATTATCGCAGAGATTGAAAGTAACAACCAACCGCTTTGAGGGAAACAATGGACTCTATGTTCACATTAACTCTAGGGAAAAATCGATAAGCATCTCATGGGAAGAATACGAAGACATTTGCAGCCTCAAGACCGACCTGCAAGGAAAGCTTCATTTGCTGCCTCAGGTATGTTGTATTATTTTTTAGATTTATGTCATCTTTGTTTTTTAGTTTGAATTTTTTTCATTTAGCCAACATTGTAACGTGGAAAATTGATTATATTTTTTTTCTCATGGTTTTTTTTTTAGATTCCGGGTCAAATCAACTACCAGACACAAAGCCAACCTCAACAACAAGTTCCGTTTCAACAAGCCATGCCAGCTCAAACCCTCCAGCAGGTTCCGCTTCAACAAGACGTGTCAATTCAACCTCGCCAAGCTCAACAACAGGCATATATTCAAATTTTCTCAACCTTCAAACATTTGGGAAGATTTTGCATGAGTGAAGATGCCATATCGTGTATTCTTCCGATTGAACAATGAACTTGTCGATATACCCGAAGGACAATGAATAAAATCTATTATTGATTTTAAAGTAAGTTTCATATTCTGCTGGGCCGATTCAACTGAAAGTTGGTAGGAATGATCGCCTGATGGTCCTGACAAATTGTTGTTATTTTTCGGGTCGATCAGAAATCCAATATGGCCGCCACGGCCGCCATTTTGAAAAACTATTTCAAACTTAAAGTCAAGTTCTGCTGGGCAGATTGAACTGAAAGTTGGTAGGAATGATCGACTCATGGTCCTGATAAAGTGCTGTTATTTTTCAGGTCAATCAGAAATCCAATTTGGCCACCATGGCCGCCATTTTGAAAATACCTATTTCAAACTTTAAGTAAAGTTCTGCTGGGCCGATTGAACTGAAAGTCGGTAGGAATGATCGACTCATGGTCCTGACAAAGTGTTGTTATTTTGCGGGTCAATCAGAAATTCAATTTGGTTGCCATGGCCGCTATTTTGTAAATACCTATTTCAAACTTGAAAACAAGTTCTAATAGGCCGATCTCACTGAAAATCGGTCTAGGAATAATCAGCTCATGGTCCTGACAAAGTGTTGTTATTTTTCGGGTCATTCAGAAATCCAATATGGCCACCGTGGCCGCCATTTTGAAAAACTATTTCAAACTTAAAGTAAAGTTCTACTTGGCTGATTGAACTGAAACTTTGATAGGAATGATCGAATCATGGTCCTGACAAAGTTAACATTATACTTAACTATTTTTTACTCAAATTGGTACATATTTCAACAACAAAAATAAATACTGTAGGACTCAGGTGACCGTAAAGGCCCATGGGCCTCTTGTTAAGTAGTATCGATGATGTATTGTACATGTATTCCGGTAGAGAATAAAACATAAAACTGAACTATTTGTTGTTGTATCATCATTCAGTTAAGCATCATGGAATGGTATGTCGGAAAAAGTCTCGTCAAATTTCAATCACCGTGTCGTATAATGGTATGTGGAGGTTCTGGTTCCGGTAAAACCTTCCTGACAAAGAAAATATCGGAACATGCTAATGGTATGTTTAGCAAGATACCAAAGACAATCATTGTATGTTACGATACGTGGCAACCCATGTTTGATGACTTAAGGAAAAATGTGAATGAAATTACGTTCCACCAGGGATTACCAAACGAAGATCAATTCGATGAATGGGGTGAAATCGATGGACATAAATTATTGGTTATAGACGATTGTATGGTAGAAGGTGTAGATAGTCAACATCTCATAAATATGTTTTGCGTGAAATCACACCACCAAAATTTTACTGTGATATTTCTAGTTCAGAATGTTTTTCAGAAAGGTAAAGTCATGTGTACGTTAAGTTTAAACACGCAGTATTTCGTTATATTTAAAAATTACAGAGATCGAATGCAGATAGAAACATTAGGAAGACAAATATTTCCTAGACAACAAGCTTACTTTAGAGAGTCATATCAATTAGCAATAGCAAAAAAATATTCATATTTACTCATAGACGTATCACCAACCAGAACCGAAGTGGATATAGACGGCAAACTGACGGAGATGCCACCACTTCGCTCACATATTTTGCCAGGTGAGGACACGGTGCTGTATTTTCATAAAAAAAAGTTGTAAATCGATTAAACCGTGAAAATTCGTAGAACGACCGTGTCTGCACCCTGATCTCTAGAACCTATTCTTGTGAGACTGGAGAATTTAGAAAAACGCCTAGTATAGCTTCCAGTCTGGAATCGGCCTATGGAAGATACTGGATACACATCAACATATTGAAATGGACAGGGGTGGTGGTCTTATTAGCATTAACCACTACATCGCTTACCATGGTCCTACAAAATGTTTAAATTCGACTAGTGACTGCATCAAGATTGTGTCTATACCTCCAACCCAAAATAATGCCATCCATTCAGCTGATATTAACATAATGCAGCCATGCCAAACAATATCCTCTGCCAGATGAATATTTCGTCACTGTATGCCGTTACCGAGGTCAACTACGCATCGACCTCAGACAATTCATAAATGGTAAAGCTTCAATCAGAGGAATTGTCAGTGGAATTATTTACGACGAATAAATTCTTACATCGACACAGCTATAAAGAATGCATCGTGAATTATAAAATTTGAGTACATGCGGCCGAATCATCATTTTACAGATATTCTTACAGAGGATAGCATCTCACAGCTATGGAGGTTTTTTAAAACTTTTTAATANACAAAACAGCTTCGAAAACTAGTGATACAATTGAAACGATGGAAAACTCTGCACAAGATGTAAGGGAAGCATGAGGAAAACAAAGGGGCAACGGGGTGGAAAAATGTATGTAGAATCCAAACCTTCTCAGTTCATAAAGACGTTACCTAACAAACAACACAAGCGGAAATGGCTGTCATTCAAAATCTAAGTACCACCTCCACATTGTGCATGCGCACTAAGTTGTCACACCTAACATATATATTTCGACGATT